GGCAAGGCACACATTTCAACGGAAACGATAAGAAGTTGTCTTTACCCTTAATTTGTTGATTTTATTTATTAATTTAATGCATCATAATCGTTAGATTGGCAATTAACTCTAATATTAATTAAGATTCGTTATTAATATGCCTGTCAATTATGTTGGGTGAGACGAGTTCGCGTCGAGTCTTAGTGCGTGTCAAAAAATATTTCATTCATATCTAATTCGTTTATTAATTTGTGTCTAACAAACCATATTATATCAAGTTTATATCGTTTATAAATCGTATATAAACGAGTCATTTCGTGTATTTCTTCTGGATTGGCTTCACTCATATCTAATTTGTTTATTGATTGTGTTGTATTTGGTTCATTCGTTTACTAAACAAGTGGCGTAAGAAAGATTTAAATCCTCTAATTTTGTGTCTGTTCGTATTGTATTAACGGATCGTATCATATTTTGATAGCCCTAACTATCAATCTAATAGTTGAGATGCATTTGATGAACAAATTATATTTTCCATAATTGAATGCAGTGGGAAGCCAAGGGGGTCAATATCTCTTCAAGGATAAGATTAAAGTGCCCCCGCCCCCCCCCCCCCCCCCCCAAAAAAAAAAAAAAATTGCTACAATACTATCAGATTTTATAAATTTCATGGGTTTAGACAGTAGTTTTTTAGATCTATTTACCATATAAAATTTGGGATAGATCCTAAAAAAGTTACAATCTTTTGGGTCATATTATAATTTTTTAAAATAAAAAGTACAAATTTTTGAGATATTGGGAATAGATTTCCTATCAATTTTAAAATCTATCTCAGGTAAACCCAAAAGTTAAAAATAGCCCCAACTTATATATTATAGGACTGTATTGAAATAAAAAATAATTCGATTCTTCCCCTTCCAATATATTTTCTTTCAAAATTTACAATGGTTGATTACCTTATCGAAAAGATTTACATTTATATAGTTTCATTTAATTTTGATGATGCACAAATTAGTTTGTACACCATCTATTAAATATGCAGCATAAAATGCAGTAAAATAAGTAGAGGGAGAGAGAAGACAAGATTTATAATGGTTCGATCAACGTGACCTACGTCCACTCTGAATGGCAAGGGTCGCCGATATTTTATTATCTCCAGCGTACAAGGAGAGCAAAATGTTACAAACTTTGAGAGAGGAGGAGAAAATTATCTCGAATGAGTCTGATGTCCTCCAAGTGTTGGTGGAACTTATAATTTATAGTGGCTTAGTATAGTAATTAAATAGCTAGTTTGACGGTCATAACGGGTTGGGACCGTTTATTAGTTATAACGGATTTGGGTGACTTTAATACTAATTAAATAGTTTGGCGATCTCTCTTCTCCTCAATCGACAAGGAAGTTATGACACTCTTCAAAGGACTTGATCAAAGGATGAGAGAATATTAATTCTCTCCAGGCCGTGAGACAGAGGCTTTTGGATAATCCTTACTCCAAGGTGGTAGAGGAGGTTCTTTAATGACCCTTACTCTAAGGTAGTAGAGAAAATTCTTGGATGACCCTTATTATAAAGTGGTAGAGGGAACTTTTGGATGAGCTTTTAAACGACCCTGCGTGTTCCTCTACTGATGTAACTTCTAGAACCTAATTAGTTTGACTGAATGTAGACTCTTTTGAGCTTGACTAACTGGACATTTTAGAGTTGGGCCCTTAAGCTTGTAATATGAGTTAGGTCCTTGAACTTGGTCCATCAATTTTTATTTTTTTGCTTTCAAAAGAAGGGACGAAGATAAAGGAAATTTAATATTGGAAAATTTTCTATGCCCATCTCACTTTAGCTGGGATTATTGGAAAACTTTCTATTTGTTTGCAAAATTTATTTTTGAGAAAAATTCAAATATTGAGTAGTTTGTAAAGATGGTAGAAGTATTTATATTGCGATCGAAATAGACCAACAATTTTATTAAATAATGTAAAAATTAGAGAATTAAGAATTTAGAGAGAAAAAGTTTTCCCAATCCCTTAAATATTATAATTTAAATTTTAAACTATACGTTATAGATCTTTATGTGTGGTGTGACCAAAAGAATTAGACATGTTTGAAAAAATAATACTATTTGGTGTTTATAAACTCGCGATCACAACATAGATTTTAAATATAGTAAATTTTAGAAAATTATATGCATTGTGTAGCTCAAGTCTGTAACAATAATCGGACTTAGATGCTTAAGTAATAATTCCTATCTAATCAAGGGTCGAAAGTACAGATCCTTAAGTTTCATCCGTAGGATCACTACCTAGAGTTTCACAGAGAAGGTTCGGGACCCACATAGTCTGCCGTTAGATTGATTTGACGTGACAGATGACGGAGTAATAAATGCTTCTGTGTACTGTTCTAGTTAAGGCCTAACCAGCTATCCCACATCGACGAGACTTGAAGAATTTTAACCATTAAAATACCGAAGTCTTGCAGCAAAACAGCGTCCCTTCGGGGACATCCGATAAAATTGGAACGATACAGAGAAGATTAGCATGGCCCCTGCGCAAGGATGACACGCACAAATCGAGAAATGGTCCAAATTTTTTTTGGACCTTTTTGCCCCTATTCATGTCCTTTAAATTACAAAAATGCCCTGAAAATTATCTTCTTTACCGAAAATAACCCTTTCTGCGAGTCCACCTGTTCCTCTTTCTTCTCAGAGCTTTTTCTATTCCGCTGGAAATCGATTCTCCGGAGAATTTTTTCAATTCAATTTCTAGGGTTTGATGGCAAGAATATCGAACTGGTAAATATCATCTCTCTTCGTCGTTGCAGATATTTTATGATATGTACTTACGCATCGTTAATATGTATAAAATACTTTGGTTAATTTGCTTTACCTATCCCTTTTCGAGTGAATGGCTGGTTGTACAGTAGCTGTTGGGGTTTCTTTTTGTTTTTTTTCTCTCTCTCTGATGTATAGCAAGAATTTGTTTCTGTTGAGGGTTGATGGAAGTTCTCCCTCTTCTAAATAGTTAGTTTTATTAAAGGCTTGTTTGTTCTCTGGGTTTAATTTGCCAAAGCAATGCCTTTAGAGAAATACCCTTTATTGGTGCCAATGCATAGCTACTCTTCGTGATTTAAAGCTCTTCATAAGCACATTTAGTTATGATTAAGCTCGAGTCTGTTAGACATTCGATTGCTATTAACTTTATTGTGCCAATGTTATCAGTTATCTATAATTGGGCACTCGTAAGTTTTGCTTTATGGGTAGCTCTCACGGTTTGTGTTGTGCTTTCAGCTGGCAAGATGTAACGTATGAGTATGGTGCACTGAATTAATCTTGCTTGGGCTATGAATAGTTGTAAGGAAAACAAAGATTCAAAAGAATCCACATATAAAGAGGAGTTATTAAATTACAATTTGTCGTGCGAAGAGTTTATGTGGGAGTAAACTCGCTGGACATAGATTCTGATTTGTTTTACAATTGTTTGACATAATTATTACCTTTTAGCAGTTGGTAAGATACATTTTGATTATAGCATATCAATTTTATTCTCCAGATGCAGTCTGCTATTGCAGAAATCATTGAGATATCTATGAGGAGTCATTCCATTGTTGTTATGCATAATATATGTATGCATGTTACTGCAAACTTACTGACTTTGCTGTGAATTTTTCCTTCCTTAAAATACTTACTATTTAGTAACATTTGATATTGCACAATGTGTATGTATGAATTACAGCGATATCCTTTTCCTTACTGCCTCATTAAGAGCAGAGGTTTGAATCTGTTAGATGTGATGTGCTGGAGTTACCCTAGAGTCTCTATTAATCTGCCATCCAGATTGCTTGATTTTCCATGTGGTTATTTCACATGCATTAACATAGGTAGTAGTCATTCCTTTCCTTCCCATTTTTATTCTCTGGGGGCCATTTGCTAGTCCATGAATCACTGCAACATCTAGCAAGGGACACCCAATGGTGGTGTTATCCATATTACATAACTGAAGACCAAAATGCATTACTATATATGCAGGCTCTTTGTTGTGGGTGTTTTCTTCATCTAAAATTTTCAGTTACATCTAATTTATTACAAGATATGTGTGTAGCACATTTGAAATTTCTTATGGGCCTCATAATCTTACTATGAAGTGACTACCATAATCAGTGTATGGGGCATGAAATTTTTCATGGAAGGAAATTTACGGCAAAGTGACACTCTAATCAGCTGATCTATACCTTTGGTTTTGAGCCATATTCATATTAATTTGAATTGCGCTGCAAGTTGATGGAGACATGATTTGATATTTTTAACATGCAGTTTGCTTCATTTGGGAGCTAGTGGACACCAGAACCTGGACTGCATAGGAGGACGGCTTAATGTTCTGCCCTTGTAGTTGTTTCCAATGGAAGGGTGAGCAACTAAAAAATATCTGAGGTCATTGTCTCACGAAATCCAAGCATTTTATATTCTCCACCAAGTATTTCTTGGCATTTTTGCTTACCACGTATTTCCATCAGAAGCGGGAGTTGGGCAGTGTTTCTGACCAAAATGGAGTGAGTAGCTTGGGCGATGACCCTTCAAAGGATTACGCTATAGGGACTGGAATGTGAAGTGTTCGGTGAGCATGACACGAAATTGTCATACATAGCAGATGACAGATTATCATTCTGGAAATAATGGACAGTTATTGTACTTTAGTGGTAACTTAAGGTGAACATCTATATATGCAATATGCATTATAAGGGATCTCGATTCAGTTTATAAAGGTGTTAAAAGTATGGTGTGTCGGATAGGTTTGTTGTTCACTTAGAATGATCTATCTCGATACATAGATCGACTGTGGAAGCAGGTTTCTATCTGGTGCCTGGGTTGCTTTCAGTTTTGTTGCCTATAAGAGGAGTAATAGGAAAAAGCGAAACACAGAGATGGTCAGTTTCTATTTAAGCTCCTTCTATACTTGTTGAAGATGTCATATGGCTATCTTGTAATCTAATTATGCTCATGATCTGGAGGAAATTTGATTTTTTCTTGGAGCTGGCATGGACTTCCTTGTGGAGTTGAACATTATTACAATCAGATCAGGAACGAGAAGTGCCTCGCCATCTGAAAACTCTATTTGCAGTGTTCTATCTGTCCCTTTGGATCGACTGGCAAAATCTCCAGGAGCTTCGACTGTCAAGATCCATGGAGATTCTTTGTGTACCTATTTTTTGTGGAGCATAGATGGTACAATTTGAATGACTTTGTTTCACATTCGGGGTTGCACGTTGTTCCTAATTGACCTCAAGGAACAGAAATGATTGATATCATTCCTACTAACAGCAGGGTAAATATTGTCCATGAATTATAGACACAAATGTGGCACATACCAAATACATATGAACCAAGTTAAGATCCGAATATAATAGAACGCGACTCTTATGTTAGCACTATATCATAAACGAAAAAGTTTAGTATCAAATGAGGTACGATATGAAAAATTATTATTTTTGAATTACGTTGTAACTTTTTACGTTAAATTATTGCTAAATGTGGTTGGATTACAATAAAAAAAAAAAATTTGAATCGATTCCAAATAATTTTTAGATGTCGCAAACTTAACACGCCTAAAAAAAGAGGTGTAAAGATAGCTGAGAATATGGGTGATAATTTATGACACAGTACAAAAATATGACTCGAAATTAGCAAGTTAAAATTGATTATTTATTGATACAAACCCATCAAAGGACTTTTGGTCTAATTATATTTCTTGCCTTGTAAAAATTTTGTTTTCTTAAGATCAAGGGTTCAAACCCTTTTTTCCCTCCCCTCCCCACCCCAATAAATATATATACATATACAAAAAAAAAATTAAAAAAAATATTGATACGAACCCATATATGGCACGACATGTTAACATAAAATAATATAAATGAGTTGAGTTAGTGTAAAATATAAATAACACGAAATTGGCACGATTAACATATTTAAGTAATATTATAATAATAAAATGTTAAAATTTTTATTATATTTGATCAAATAGTGATTTAATTCTTGTAAAAAAATATTTTTTACTTATTTTTATTATTATATTTATTAAATTAATTTTTAATTTATAGAAAAAGTACAAGAATAGGTTTGATTAAGTGATAATTAAATTTTAGACATAAAATTGAATATTAAATTTTTGAAAGAATTTCATCCACACCTCCTCTAGTTATGTCTAAATTTAATGACACTCATTCTTAATTCTGAAACTTCACTGCACCCCCTTTTGATTTATACTTTCAAATCAAAGACACCTTCTTAACGGTAATTTTTAACTCTACCAAAACAAAAAGTAACGTTTTGACTATAAATTTTTTGAAAATGTCAAAATTATCATTCCTTATGTAAATATACTAAAATGCCTTCAATTATTTTCCAACTATATATATACCATACCCATTGTTGTTGTTAAAGGTCAAAAATGATCTGGTATTCTGGAAGACATATAAAGAACTGAAGTCATCCATTATTCTTCAACTTGTTTTCCACAATGATCGATCAATACATAAGTTGATAAGAATAAATTTATTTTTTTCTTGCAAATTTGTAAATATTTTTTATGCAGATTTTTTTTTACACAAAAAAAATCAAGCAATTTTTTTTTTAATTTTTTTCATCCAGATATTTTTTATTCCTTTATGCAATTTTTTTGAAATTTTTTTCATGTAATTTTTTTTTTCATGCAGATAGTTTTAATTTTTTCATGCAAATTTTTGTAAAAACAAATTTCATGTACTTTTTTAAAAAATTTTTCTTCCATTTTGTTATGTTAATATATTGTAATGTATTATTGTAGAATTGATGTCTTTTTCAAATGTTGGTAGAGACAAAGACAGAGATTAACGTCTATGTCAAAATCTAATCTATTTTTAACTCATTTGTTATCGTCTGTCTCACACAACGTCACTTAACCACTTTTCACACATCACCTTTCATATATAAAATTTAAATAATATTTGATAAAATTTATAATAATTGAATAAATTTGGTCTTAATTTAATAATAAATATTAATTTGGTTTTAATTTGATATTTATATTCAGTGTTGATTTAATAAAAGTTAATATTAATTGAATAAATTTAAATGTTGCTTTAATGAAATTAAATATTCGTTTGGTATTAAACAAAATAACTAATATTAATTTGATAAGGTTAGATGTTAAATTAATAGAATTTAATATTTTATTTAATATATTAAATTTTAATTTAATAAAACTAAATGTCAATTTAGTTATAAATTTTTGAAATTAAATAATAATTTAATGTTAAATTAAAGAAATAATATTAATTTGATGTAATAAAATATTAAATTAATATAACTAAATGCTAATTTGATAAAATTAAATATTAAATTGATGAATCTAAATGTTAATATAATAGAACTAAAAAGGAGTGCATTAAAATTTCAGAATCGAAAGAGGTATTGTTAAAGATATGTCTATTTAAAGGGGGTGTCGTTGAAATTATATTTATTTATGAGGGGGTGTGGATAAAATTTATCCTATAAAATATTTAGAAGTATTTCTATAAATTAACAATTGTCATTAACATCATCACCCGATAAACACTAATAAGAGATAATAGTAAAATTTTATAATCAAGAGGGGATATTATTGAATTTAGATCTAGTTACAAGAAGTGTGGATAAATTTTTTTTTAAATTTTTTATTTACAAATTATGTAGATTAAGACGATCACAACATAAAAATAAATAAGTCAAGAAAATATGATATGATCAATTAAATATCTTAGGTTAAAATTAATTAATTAATGCTTAATATCAATTTGAAATTGAGTAATATTACATGAATTTAAAAAATAGATTTAAAAATTAGAATTGATAATCTCAACTATTTATTTTACAATAGATCTTAGCATTTATTAAAATTTATTATCTATTTAATAATTGAGATTATTAAATTTAATTTTTAAATTTAGAATGCGTAAATTTTTGAAATGACTTGGCACGACAGATTGTCACTACTAACCGAGAGGATCACAGTTGCCGGTTGACGGGCGGTCAGTTATTCAATTCAAGTGTACGGTACAATTAGAACTGGCCAGGCTCAGCGCAGCCCACATCAATTTCATACACAACCTTGTATTTCTATTCGTTTGCAGTGCCCCCAGCTCGCGCCATTAACAACCAAGACAAGGAATGTATTCCCCAATATAATCGTCATTTGGGAAGAGTTTGAATCGTGGACGAATGTGGGCAGGACGGCTTTGGCCGGCAAAGCATCAATGATGTGCGAAATTTTTGTATTAAAGCCTAGATGGTTTCGATTTTGGGAAAAACGAAGATTGTTGCTATCTCAGAGATGGCGACCTTCCATGAAATTTCTATTTATGTTTCTGTTGTTGCAGTATCATGTGAACTCAGGTACTGTTACCGCTCACAGAGATGGAGGTGAGCAGCCTTTGGCCAAGATTGCAACCCACAACGCCGTTTACGCACTTCACGACGCGGCCTCAATCAGAGCTTATCTGCTTGTTCTTGGCACGAAGGTCAACCGTTTTTGTATTCCCCAAATAGCTTTTTCTCCAAGGAACTGAAGTTCTTTGTTTTGATTTCCAGAATAGGTTCTGATTCTATTTTTTTTGAATTTATTCTTAGCTCACTGGAATTGTGATACTTAGTTTGTATATATTATTCACCTCTAGGCATAGGTATATAGGCAGCCTTTCGGCTCTATTAATTTGTTTTCTCCTTGGAGGCCTCTCACACATGCCAATTGAAAATTAGATGAGTCATAGAGTAGAAATGTAAACGAGTAAACCAACGCAAGGAATTAGCCAAGAGGTTTTTCTTGGAGGGAGTATTATTCTTTGCTGCATTTTCTCAAGCCTGAAATCATCACAATGCTTTTCAATGTTTCCCAAGAGAAAAGTTGCTTGGATGCATTAGGACACTGGTAAGAGTGAAATTTATACTAACTATAAGCTGATGAGTGTATGCAAACACCTTTGATGCTAATTATCATCCAATTGATGATTCATGTGCGATTTAAAATTACATCATTCAGTTAATAGTGATTCAACATTGTTATGATTATTACTCAGTTTCAAACCAAGCATTTAATGTCTCAATTCAATTGATTAGATGCTCAGTCCTAACTTTCAGGGGCATTGACTAATGACCAATACCTGAACTGTGAGATCTGATCTGAATTTAACCTATAACCATGCATTCATGCTGCATCTGTGCCTTCAGATTCAAAGATGGAGTTTGCTACACTAGCAACGTCTGCAGATAAAGTGGAAACTTATTTGCTGCGCCATGTTTTAACTGTCTGGTCATTGTCTCTTGTCTTTTTTATGGGTGTAAAGTCTGTCCTACAACTATGTATATGCCCCTTATTTCCCAGAATTTGTCAGCACGGTTTTTTCTGTAGGTAAGGAGACTAACTTGATGATGTATATTTTGGTCCATGTGTTGGGTGAAGATGCTCAGTGGATAAATGTGGAGCTAAGCTTTCCTAACCCTTCAGAAGATGATTGGGTTGGAGTTTTCTCACCTGCAAAATTCAAGTATTTCATGATCATTACCTCCTTTGAATGCTTTGCTCGACTCTTTTACATAGAATTTAACTGCATGGTGGCTAGATATTTTCATGGAAGAGTGCTACATGTAAAGCATTGCATACAAATTTCAATATCACTCTTTTAGGGCCGTGCCCATTTATTTTGATCACTGCATGAGAAATTTTCAATATTTCATAGCGGTGAGACTGATAGAATCATTCTGCATATGGCAGTTCATCAACCTGTCCCCCTGAGGGCAATCCTAGACAACAGGCTCCTTATATATGTTCTGCACCAATAAAGGTATGTATTATCGTCTAATAACTTGTTTGACCACTATAAAAACCCAATCACTTAATCATTTTTGACATCTCTTTCAAACTAATACCATATTGAATGTCTTGGTTTCAGTACAAATACGCAAATGACTCCAGTTCTGATTATACAAAGACAGGCAATGCATCTTTGCAGTTCCAGCTAATTAATCAGCGGGCTGACTTCTCTTTTGCATTATTTTCAGGGGGGTTCTCAAACGTGCGTTCATGTCTCTTTCTGCTCCACTTTTTGCTCCAACTTTTCATGCATTTTACCGAATTTTACCTTTCAACATCCCACAGTTAGCTTACACTCAATGTTGGCATCTGTCCCCGACTCAATTACCCTTCTTCTTTGTTCGTCGTCATCTTCTTGATGCCACCTTTTACTGTTTATAGCACACTATTTATTCCGTTTCTTTGTAATGCAGCCAAAACTGGTGGCCATTTCAAATGCTATTACTTTTGCAAATCCTAAGGCGCCCCTTTATCCACGCCTTGCTCTAGGGAAATCTTGGAACGAAGTGAGTTTCTTTTTCCTTGCCTTATTGATGTTAAAGCCTAAGCTAATACCCGTAATCCTTGATGTCTATGAAATCTTTGTTGAAAGTTACAATGTATGCCGCCAAGTAAAAATTGATTACTGATCTGGTTCAATGATAACTTTCGACATTCTTATTACATTTCACATTATGATTTAGTACTATCTTGAGGAAAGAACACATCCATCTGTAACCGTGAGATATAGTTTATGGATTCTCAGAGATAATATTTGCTGCAACCATAGTGTAGCCCTTTTGTGATGGGGCATGCCAAAAACCAACTTAGGTCCTCACATGTTACTTCATGGTAGCTCGACTTTGGAGAGCACCAGATTGGCAATGTTATTGTAATATGCACCCAAGTTTCTTATACGACACCTGATCATCTTTATGCAGATGACAGTAACTTGGACGAGTGGCTATAACATTGATGAAGCTGTTCCATTTGTTGAATGGGGACTGGGGGGAGAACATCAAAAACAGTCACCTGCTGGAACATTGACATTTCACTGAAACAGCATGTGTGGTATAATCAACTTCCTAGTGCTGGCACTTAACATTTTCCCCATAATAATTTCCAAATGTAGAATCTGAATAATATATCGGGCTTGAGAAAGACACTGAATGATCATCTCCCTGGCCTTGCTAAGTTGTTAACCTCAAATGAATCTCCTTGCAGTATATTGTATATGTGTGTGTGCTAACTATTGAAAGGTCATGTATTGTATTTAACAAGTATGACTGTATGAGACTATTGAAAGGTAGTCATCTCTTGATCTTAAAGTGCCTGTGGTGCTGGGATTTTGTTAGTCAACTTTTAGCCCTTGAAGTTATCTCCCTATTACCAATCAATTCAACTTCACTTAACTCAACAAAACCTTGTCTCAACATTTTTAGGGTGGCTACATAAATCTTATTTTGCCGTTGTGCTTTATTGAGAGCCGTGTTTTCTGCTAACCTAAGCTATCATATGTTTTTCTACTATTTCACTTAAAGTTAACTTTGATCTTCTTTTACCTCTTAAGTTTACCTTCAATAATTATCATATCAATCTTTCTCACCGGTGCCTTAGTAGATTGTCTATAGATATGTCTAAACCACCTAAGTCGATTCTCCCTAAATTTATTTCCTATATGTACTACATCCACTTTTGCACAAATTTATTCGTTCTTAATTTTATCTTTTTTAATTTTACCACGCATTCCTCTTAACATTCTTATTTCTGCCACACTTAATTTTTGATTGTGTTGTTTCTTTATTGTCCAACACTCAGTACCATAAGGCATAACGGATTTTATGGTTGTTCTATAGAATTTTTCTTTTAGCTTAAAGAGTACGCATCTATCACATAATACTCCAGATACATTCTTCCATTTAGTCCATCCAATTCTATGGTAAACATCATCACCAATCTCACATTCTCTATGAATAATAAACCCTAAATATTTGAAGTGTTCACTATCGGTATCTCTTTATCTTCAATTTTTACTTCTTGATTTTGATTTATTCTTTTACTAAAGTCATTGCATATATTCATTTTTAGTCCTATTTATCCTAAATCCTTTCAATTCTAGAGCTTCTCATTATATTTCTAGTTTATTATTAATTTTTTATTTATTTTTATCTATTAATACAATATCGTTTGCAAATAGCATATAACATGGGAGCTCATCTTGAGTGTGTTTAGTCAATTGATCATAATCAGCACAAAAAGATATGGACTCAAAGCAAAACTCAGATGTAAACATAAAGTAATTGGGAATTCATTAGTCTCTTCAGTTATTGTTTTCACTAAATCACTACATTTGTTGGGATTTCTCACGATTTAAATCCACTAACAAACACACACAATCGAAGAATAAATCAAGAATATAAAGCAATAAGAAACAAGAAAGAACAAGACACAGATTTTACGTGGTTCGGCAATTTGCCTACGTCCACGAAGCTGCAGGGATTTCACTATTGAGAGAGTTGAATACAGAGAGCGGCTGTACCATACACCATTAACCCTAATCACCAAAACAACAGGGTTTATATGTCCTACGCATTGGGCTGTATAACGGGCCCAAAAAAAATTTTCCTCGGGGGCGTTGCCCCCGAACCCCCACGAGGCTTGTCCATGAGCGCTACGACTTGGGCCTATCGGCCCAAGCCTTCGCTCCATGGACTAAGCCTCAGAAAATTTTCCATTAAAAACCACACAACATTATTTCGGGTCGGGTCATCATCCGGATCACATATACAAACTAGACTCCATAAAAAATAAACCAACAACATTATCATAATATCCTTAATCACATCAATATACTGAATAATAACATTTTCTTCTCTAAAACTCTTCATAATATATCTCTAGAAACTTTATCATATGTTTTCTCTAAGTCTATAAAAATCATATGAAGATCCTTATTTTTCTCCATTAATCTTCGAAGTACATACCTTTCGTTATTGAGTTCTCTGACATAAATCCAAACTGATTCTCAGAAACTATTGTTTCAAACCTTAATTTTTGTTTGACCATTCTCTCCGATGTTTGACTGTATGACTTATTAGTTTAATACCTCAATAGTTTGTACAATTTTGTATATCTCCCTTATTCTTATAGATATGTACTAAAAATATTCTTCCTCCACTCATTAGGCATTTTCTTGGTCGTTATAATTTTGTAAATAATTTAGTTAACCATGATACCTCAGTATCTCCTAGACATTTTCAAATCTCAATAGGTATACCATCAGGTCCTAAAACTCTGTGTCTTTATTTGCTTCAATGTCTTTTTTACCTCTGATATCCTAATCCTACCAAAAAAAAAGGCATTTTCTCTAATCTCCCTAATTATACTGTATAAAGGCTCTCAGCAGGGTGGACAGGCCTGCTCCATGATATAATTCTTAAAAGTGTTTGAATATAGAAAGAATTCCGAAACAAGCTGAAAGGAAGAAAATCACGTGGTACAATATCAGCATTAACTTTGTTTTAACTATCTGGACTAAAAGGTTCCTTCTTCAAAAAAATTATTTGGCATTGGTGTATTGTGATTTGTGTTGTTATTTCTTTTTCGAGAATATGGTGTGCCTATGATTCAGCCAAAACATAAAATGGAAGCTGGGAAATTAAGAAATGTTGGATAGAACCTAATAGGAATAGAAAAGAACTTGAAATTGAGAACTGACAATCACCATTTCAAAGTTCCATACTTGTTTAAACTTGGACAAAATATATGAGGAAAAAAATTGAAAATCCCCATTAAATGTTTGAACTTGATACCATTTTAATGGCAAAATGTTATTTTTAATGTCCAGGTCCACCTGCAAGAACAGTTGGCTGGCGTGATCCTGGATTCATTCATACAAGTTTCTTAAAACATATGTGGCCTAACTCAGTGTATGCACCTAAAGATCATTTTCATGATGGCTCAGAAGCATTAGTGTATGTCTTAATGGCTGCCAACAATGGTTTGTTTATTCAGATACACTTACAGGCTTGGTCATGGGCTGTTCAATGGTTCCTATATCTGGAGCAAGATCTACTCTTTCAAATCATCACCCTACCCAGGCCAGGACTCAGTACAGCGTGTTATAATATTTGGCGACATGGGAAAGGTAATATTACCCAACGTGAAACATACGGCAAGAAAAGTAAGAACTATATTGTTTTTTTTAAATGCCTTGTTTATATAATATTATAGATGTTTTCTTGAGGTTTGTTTTCCTTATGGTCAGTATGGTTCAAAGTATTAGCCAATACCGATACAACCCGGCCATGTCGTATCCAACTCGACACCTTCCGAAACAATACCATTACACGATAAATACAAACACCAAGTCTCACACGACTCGTCCGAGTTATATCTGAGTCAATCCCGAGTCGCCGAGTTATCATTACTGAATCGGCCGATACAGTTTCGCGATGCTATGACCATAATGACCTGAATCTCTCGTAAATCGTAATGTTTAACATTTTCTTTTAAGTTACATCGCCCGATACTGTGTTGCGACGCCTCGATCAATGTGTCTCAAAGCTCTCCAAGTTGATGGTCAATACTGCGACCTTAAACCATGATGGTCACACAATTTAGGCTTCTTCCATGGTTTTACTATGTCCACCCCTACTATTTACTTTGTGGTGTCTGTGTGAGGAGGGAGAGATAGACTAGTGAAAATGTATAAATAAGTTATGCTCTTCTTTTTATGATTTGGTGATTCTTGTAGGCACTAGTGAAAGAAGGGGAAGAACCCAAAATTTATTCACATCATCGTTTTGCTAATTCACTGTAAGTTTTTTGTACATGTTTTCTTTAAAGCCCACCTGCTCATCAATTGGCTTGTTGTACACACCTTTTTTTGGTCTTTCGTACACCTATATCATTGTACATTTTAACTATCAACTTTGGTCAAAATTGTTGAGTGGAAATCTTATTCAGCTTTATGACACTGAACACAGATTATGAGATGAGTATGTACAGTGAGGTATACATGAAGTTCCTTTGAACAATATGTTGGTAAATAATATTACATTCCTCTTTTTTTTTTTTTTTTTCAGGCGGAACGTGATGGTTCAAATGACTACAGTAATTACCAGCCTGGTTCACTTAATACCACAGATCAGCTAATCAAGGACTTAGATAACATCGACATAGTTTTCCACATAGGAGATATGACCTATGCAAATGGCTACATTTCCCAGTGGGACCAGTTTACCTCACAGGTGGAGCCCATTGCATCAACCGTTCCATATATGGTCGCAAGGTTGGTGTAGTTGTTCTGGGAGTTCAGCCATATCTAGTTATATGTACACTACAAATTTACAATGTTGCCAAAACTTACATGTTTGATGTCTTTTCAGTGGTAATCATGAACGTGACACACCCGGGACAGGATCATTCTATGACACTAATGATTCAGGAGGTGAGTGTGGGGTGTTAGCTGAGACCATGTTTTATGTACCTGCGGAGAACAGAGCTAAGTTCTGGTAAGTTGTAGGATTTCTTTATGAAGTTATTGTTTCATCCCCAATTCCAAGTGTCAGAAATAGTAAGCATATATCATTATGTGACAATAGGTTGGAAAATTTCCTAAAATTACATTGCCTTGTTAATCTTATTGTATAAGAGCTCAATCTTTAAAGAAAAAGGCATAGCCACACAGTGTACTTATTAAACTTTTTTTTGGGGGGGGGGATTTCAGTAATTCTAGGTATTTTCTTGAATTATTATGGAAAGGAAGCTAGTTCCTACTGCACTTTTCTGTTTGGGCCCTTTGTCATAACTTTAACGTCCAACTGTGTATCAACCCTTAGGGGTGGTCCTGTGTTTGAGTCTAGCTTTTGGTAACTTAAATGTCTTAGGTTCAATTCTCACACCCTCTAAGAGCTAGTCACTCTTTGTCCTTTTAGGTACATGATCTAACCCAGCTCAAATCACGGTGTAGCTAACCGTTGAGCTCGAGACTCAAGTGAGTAATTGGCACAAGCTTGGACAACTAGTAGCCAAAAAAAAAAAGTTCAATTGTGAATCCAATATTTCCTCTGAAAACGTGTCAACTGTGCTACAGGTATTCGACGGATTATGGCATGTTCCATTTTTGCATAGCTGACACCGAGCATGATTGGAGAGAGGGTTCTGAACAGTACAGATTCATTGAGAATTGTCTTGCATCAGCAGACAGGCAGAAGCAGCCTTGGTTGATCTTTGCTGCTCATCGTGTGCTTGGTTATTCCTCAAATGATTTTTTAGCCTCACAAGGCTCATTTGAGGAGCCCATGGGGAGAGAAAGCTTGCAGAAGCTTTGGCAGAAATACAAGGTGGATATAGCAATTTATGGTCATGTCCACAACTATGAGCGAACATGCCCCATTTACCAGGTAAAACCTAAATTTCAAAGCAAACGACATGTTCTAAGCATTGCAATCTAGTCAACAGATGCATAAAATAAACTGTATGCAAATTGTTCATCATGTATCAACTTACATTGCATTAGATTGAGTTATGTGGTTGTGTTACCAGAGACACAACCCTGAAAGGCTGTCTATGGGATAGTTAGTTGAGTTGCACTTCTAAGTGCTTCTCTTTGGCCTTTTGCTAGCACTGATGGTGTTGAAATTACATCATATAGCATTACACTTGCCAAACATACGGGGCTTTTGTGGGCTTGTCATTTGTTTCTGGACTTTGCTTCTCTGTGGCATCAAATTACTCTCTGGCCATTTATCCTGATCCTTGATTGTTTATGCCTGTGCTGCAGAATCAATGCATGAATGAAGAAACATCTCATTATTCAGGCACTGTGAATGGAACAATCCACGTTGTTGTCGGTGGAGGAGGGAGCCACTTATCAGACTTCAGCCCGCTCCAGACCTTCTGGAGCCTTTATAGAGATCGCGACTATGGATTTGTTAAACTCACTGCATTTAGTCACTCATCACTCCTCTTCGAGTACAAAAAGAGCAGTGACGGAAAAGTTTATGATACTTTTACCATCTCAAGGGACTACAGGGATGTCTTGGCTTGTGTACAGGATGGTTGTGAACCAACCACTTTGGCTACTTGAATCTTTTTTTTTTTTTTTTTATCAGAACTACTTGAATCTGAATGTATTCTTTTCAGAGTAGTGTTAACTGTTTTGGCCAAGTGCTCCTCTGAGGCAAGAAATGTTTCTCCCTCAATACAATTCATGTTTTGGGTTGCCATCAATATGAAACATATGAATTCTTTTATTTCCTCCTCACAGTGTCATATTGTTACAGAGCACTTCATTTATTTGCAAAAAAATTATTCTGACCCTCCCCAAACCCTGCAATGACTGGAGTTTTGTGCACTGGGTAAATACCTTTTAATAAGTTTTTTCTTGGTTAACAAATAAAAGAAAAAGGAATAAGATGAAGAATTGCTATTGATATTCACAGATTGAGATTTTTTTTTTCCCGTCGACTCTTCTGTTCTTTTATTATATTTTTGATTTTTTTTTCATGCAATAACTCATTTTTTTAATAATGATAGATCAAGCTCAATAACCCAACTCATGTTACAAGTCCAAGGGCCTGATTCCAAGAGGTCTAGTTAGCCAAGCCCAAAGAAGTCTGCATCCAGTCAAGCTTATCGAGTTTCAGAAATTACATCAGTAGAAGAGTACACAAGGTCGTCTAAAAGCTCATTCATGCCACCTTGGAACTAGTCAATACCCCAGTCATCCTTTAACCGAGTCTCATAGATAGCACTTCAACCGCCTTGCCTTGCCCGTTGAGAAGAAGCCGCGAGCTCTACCAGAATAATTATTTAATTGTTATTAAGTTGTCCCAATCTGTTAGGATGCAATTATAAATTGTAAACCCCACCAACACTTGAGGGGCATCACACTTTGTTGAGCACAATTCTCTCCTCTCCCTCGCAACTTGTTGTTTTCTACTCTCCTTACACGTATGAATCAATAAAATATTTGGCGACCCTAACCATTCAAAAGTGGACGTAGGTCATTTTGACCGAACCACTATAATTCTTGTCTTCTCTTTACTTTAATTACTATATTTATTACTCATATTTGACAGGTGGTGTGCAAACCTAATTTGTGCATCATCAAATAATATACAACAAATTATTAATGGAAAATTTTTTGCCTTTTTTGCGGGCATACATTTTATCTAAAGTAAACTATACGTATGACCCCTCAAATTATGACATTTGTATTAATTAAGTCTTTAATTTTATTTTTTTTGGTTTTTTGTTTTTGTTTGATTTTTTAACAGAAAATGGCGAAGTGTGTCACTCATGTGACACAAATGATTGTAGTAAACCATATATATGACCTTTAAAACTATGATCTTTGTGTCAATTAAGCAACTTAATTTTATTTTTTTTTGTGTCAATTGAGCTTTGAACTCTCTAATTGTATTAATTGAGTGTTTTTGTGCATTATAGTCACGTGAGTGGCACCCTCTAACGTAGTTAAACAAAAAGACTCAATTGACCAAAAAAAAAAAATTGGTTTAATTAATACAAAATCATAGTTTAAAAGTCATATGTGTAATTTACTCTTTTATCTAAGCATAATGTGATGAAATAGTGCCACACTAACCCAAAAAATATAGGATGTTGAATGTTAATTAAGCAAATTTGTCGTAGTCAAACTTTTGTAGTACTCTAAAATAAACGAAAAATTAAAAATTAAAAAAAAAATGTCAAATAGGTTGTGTTACTACCTTTTAAATTTGAGTGACTGAGGCTCCATTACTTGGCGTTGATTTAATTATTTTTAATCACTATAAATATTTGATGTTGGAACATATACGATGTATAAGAAGAAAACCAACTTAATATTGAGAGGGTGAAATATTAAATAACATTCAAATTTGAACATTTTTGAAAAAAGAAGGTAATAGGCTTACACACCACCAAAACATTAACTTCAATCACTATTACCATGCCAAAAATGTTATAGCACGATTAATTAGGTGTTAACATAGTATAACTCGACTTAGGAATAGATCACATAAAGACGTAACTGAATTCAATGTTAATTACTAATAACAAAAGAATCCCATTTACTGCATTTTTGTCTTTAAAATGATTAATGCATGTTTCAACTTTACAAGTGAATTCCATCCATCATATTTTATTTTGTCTATCTATTAATCTATAAAATAAAATAAAACAGTCTTTTAATAAATTCATTCGACAGTCTCAAACAGACTCATTCAACGGCCGTCAACATCTCTCTTAAAATCATTCACATTGCATCATACTTTCAAGCACAAGTTATCTCTAGTGTATTATAAAAGGAGGCAACCATTTAATTTAAGGAGCAAACATATATGATTTGAACATATTAATTGCTTCGTAAAAAAAAAAACATATTAATTACTAATAATAACCAAGATTAAGCATACCCACCCAATTATATTTTATATCCTCAAAGATTCAATAATTTTTACTTTGTACCTTTAAAAATTAAATTTTTCATATTACACCTATATCTATATCTATATCTATATTTATACTACTTATAAATGTCAGCATCTGCGAAAAACTTTTGTTTTCTTATTTTATCTTTAATTATTATTATAAAATTAATCATACCCACGTATATATTTTTATTTAATTTTTACTTCTATTTGACTTTCAACTTGTGAAAATATTTTGATTTCCTATTTTATCCCAAGGTATTATCATAAAATCAATTATATTCACCTATATATTTTTATTTAATTTTTAGTTTTTACTCCTATTTGACTTTCAACGTGCGAAAAAATTTTAATTTTCTATTTTATCTCTAATTATTATTATAAAGACAATCATATCCACCTATATATTTTTATTTAATTTTTAGTTTTTATTCCTATTTGACTTTCAACTTGCAAAAAAATTTTAATTTTCTATGTTATCCCTAATTATTATTATAAAGTCAATTATACCAACCTATATATTTTTATTTAATTTTTAGTTTTTACTTCTATTTGACTTTCAACTTATTTTTGACTCTTTTATAAGGATTTATAAATTTTTTTGAACTAATTTATTAGCAACACATTTGCATATAATTTTCTATATCTATATGAAGAAATAAAGTTTTATACTTATTAAATTATTGTACACATGTAATTATCATATTAAATTCTACGATAAAATATATGTTGTATTTTATTTTTTGGTATGCAATATTATAAGCTATCTAATCAATCTATTTAAAAAATAAAAAATAATAATTTTATAATATAATTAGATGTGTAAATACCTAAAGTGGTCGAATAGATACCTAAATAAATAAAAAATTGGATATTCAATGACTTATAGAATAGATTAATAATTTGTATTTATTATTTAATGAAAATAAGGACTTATTATTTGTCATCTAATTTATTATTTAATTTAATTACACATATAATTCACATTTTTTATAAAAAAATATTATTTAAATTTGTTTACATACAAAGCACGTTATGCATTGGTAATATATTAAAACTGTTGAAATGTGTAGTTTATGTTACTCATTTCGTCAATTTTAATGGGATGAGTTTTGATAAAATAAGCGACAAAATTGTCATATTAAAACATTTTTAATACATTGAGAAGTTGTTTAGCTTCAATATTGATGGATGTATTAAGGAGTCATAACAAATTGAAACTTTCTAATTCAACTTTATATTGCATTTGGATGTAAAAAACATTCCTTATAATATAGTTTTTTTTACATGTTTATCCAAATAATACACTCTATTTGTATTATTGAACATATTGTAATATCACCTAGAAATTTGGTATTATAATTTAGTTCAAGTATATTAAATTATAAATTTATTATTTTACCCACTAAATAAATAAAATTTTAATAACTAAATTTTTTAGTTAATATATAATTAGTACTCTATTTTTTTTTTAAGTATAATATTTTTTTTTGGGGGGAGTGAGAGGGAGAAAGGGGAGATGACTTGAATCGTTGACCTCAAGAAGACAAAACATTTACAAAAAACAAAATACTATTAAACCAAATACCCATCGATAAGACTTGTAAATTGGCTAAAAATTTTCTCCCTCTAATGGATCTTATAACCAATAAAAGCTATAGAAAAACACAAATGTGTTTTGGCATAGGAAGAACAGATACGTATATGAATACGTGATACGGTATGATACGATACGGATACGACGATACGATAAAACTTAAAAAAATATGATACAAGTACGGCCAGAATACATCTATAATAAAATATATATTTTATATTTTATTATTATTTAACGACTTATAAATTATAATTTTCAATAATTTTTTAACATTAATATTACTAATTATGAATTTTTACCATGAAAATGATGTAATATCGTCTCATTATGATATGTTCATAAAATGAGCATGACCAATTGAAGGAATCATAACTACATTTAACTAGTTGATTTTACAAGTATTTATTTTTAAAAGTATAGTATAAATGACTCATTTTTTTTTATACTCTTTTAACATTTAATAATAAATAATACTTAAAAACACTCGTGTCTTCAAAATCAAATAGAATTTTGTTGATATTTTATATTGTATGTGAACTCCAAACAACGGGTATAATTTAAAATTAAAAATTGTACATCTTATTTCATATTTATAAGTATTCATATATTTTATTAATTATCGGATACAGATAATGCGTATTCGATACGTATTATCGAATATTCGACGAGTATCGTATCTAATACAAATATGTCAACATTGACGAAATATCCGTGTTTCATAAATTTTGGTAATAAATTCCCGAATTCGAACCAGCGACTGAAGGATTAGCCGTGGGCTTGTACCAACTGCAGTCCTCCGCTTCACCAACTGAGCTAAGGTCGGCTTTAAGCACATTATTATTTTTTTGGTTTTATCTTGCATCTAATTTTATCTGATAAATTCTCATTGTAGACTTACCAAACACTGAAATACAGTAAGTATTAGCTTTATTCTATAGCTCTCGTATTTTATTCACTTATATAAATTGCTACGTATTATTTAATATAATTTTATTTTTTTATAATACGACAACCAAATAAATTCTCGTAAAAAAAAATGTCTTCAAATATAAAATAAAAAAATTTAATTATTTTAGGATGCAAAAGTTAGATTCCCAAAAAAAAAAAAACAATAAAAAACCTACCAAACCATCGTTGTCTACAGACGAAGTGAACTGAAGTGAGGTCTTATCTGTCTATGGCTATGGAGAAGTTGGCACGGAGAGAGAGAGAGAGAGAGAGAGAGAGCTGGCTCTTATTATTCTAAACTTGGAGTAGTCTAATGATCCACGGAGCTTGACTTCCGCGATTCTCTCGAGTACATATCCAATAGATCTTTTACGCTGTAAAAGAAGACATCTACTCCAAGTCAAACTCGAATATTACTACGAATCTTCATAGTTTTCTTCACACTCTTGCTGATCGTTATTAGCAATAAAAAGCTTCACATCTTATGACTCTCAGTGTTTGTGTTTTGTGATGGTTGTGAAAAATTCAGCAATGACGATTGACTTCTTGGTCGCGGTGTTACTATTAGCAGTTGGTGTTCTTGAACTCGGTCCTGCTTCAGCAATTCATAGTGTGATTGGTGGTGCAATCGGTGAACAACCGCTGTCGAAGATTGCAATCCACAAGGTCACACTTGCCCTCAACGAATCAGCCTCCATTAAAGCCTACCCGCTTCTTCTTGGATTGAAGGTAACAATGTTGTAGTGGAATATTAACGAATAACAGTTTGGGCTTCATTTGCGCATTTTCACATACATGTTCTGAGCTTCCTTTAGCATCGTCTTTGTGATTTTGATTCTACTAGTTGTGCTCCCTTTGGGTAAGGTAGTTTAGGCTATGTGGGACTCGCAGCAGCTTATGTATCACTCATAGTTGAATCATCATAGAGTTTGCCTATATGGAGAGGGGAAGTTATGCAAATCGGTAGTGTTAAGCATCAAAGTCATAGATAATAATTTACCTCAGTTTTATATGCTGCTTACTTTCCTATTTTTGGGTCACAAATAGGATTGAACTTATGGTAGAAAGTTGGGTTCTTTTAATGTACTTTTTTTTTTTAAAGGGGCATGGGACCTCTTTCAGATTGTGCACTAATATCACTCTATTAGATCAGTTCAATGTAGAGGACTTTTTTGCACAGTTTCTGCATTGAATGTGCTGTAAAGGGGCATCAATTTTTTCTCTGCAGGGGCAAGACAATGACTATTAACTAACACTTTGTCATTTCTTAATGTTTTTAGTCACAGTGACCATTTAAAAAAATTAATTTTTTGAGCATTGGTTTATGTTGACTAGAATTTGCAGTAATATAGTTTTGGTTAATTTGGATTGTATAATATCCTTGGTGTTTATCTTGAATCATATGATCACAGGGTGAGGATATTCAATGGGTTGATGTGGATCTAGAGCACCCTGAACCATCTGATAATGATTGGGTCGGAATTTTTTCTCCTGCAAAATTCAAGTAATGTTCACCTTGATATCCCTAGGAACTTCCTAGCTGTTTTTGTGTACTAAACGAGTGAAGCTTATTTTTCACAAAGTTCATAATATCTGTTTGTATGTGTGGCGTTTGCTCTGACAATATCACTAATGTCATTCCTATGTATAGCTGCATAGTTTTGCTGCTGGTACATCTTTTTGGCATTGTAAATTAAATGAAAAGGTTTTCTATGGCAGCTCATCAACTTGTCACTATGAGAATGACCCTAAAGAACAAACTCCATATATATGCTCAGCTCCAATTAAGGTGTTTATGCTTTCAATTGTTGTTATTGAGATTCTAGAAGACTTTCAAGTGCATACTGATTTGAACTTCTCTGACCAATAATGTGTGAAATATTTATAATACAGTACAAGTATGCAAATCACTCCAATGCTGATTATACGAAGACGGGCAAAGCTTCTTTGAAGTTCCAGTTGATCAATCAGCGGGCAGATTTCTCCTTTGCACTATTTTCAGGCGGGCTGTCAGATGTGTGTTTGATTACTTTTTCTGACAGTTCATAATTTATCTTTGTCACTGTACAGCCTTGCAAGTATATTATAATTCATCTTGATGCATTTGCTGCATCTGTAATTGCCTCATAAAACGTTTCTAGAACTTCAATCCCACTCACTTGAATTAATTATGTACTATGTTTTGCAGCCAAAATTGGTGGCAGTTTCAAATCATATATCGTTTGCAAATCCTAAAGCACCCCTTTATCCACGCCTTGCACAAGGGAAGGCTTGGAATGAAGTAAGTTTATCTTGAATCATGGTTCTGCTTGTTTTCTTTCCTAGTGTATCATGATAAGTGCGCTTTAACCAAAATTCCTGAAACAAGTATCCAAATTAAATTAATTTGTTACGCATTTCTGCCAATATTTAATGAGTTAAATGATGTAGGATATTTCCGGCTAAGGCCAACACATATACATGCCTATGCCAGTCTGCCTGTGTGTAATTTGACAGTGAAAAAGCAGTAAATATTCCTACTGATTTTTGAATTTTTTAGCTTAAATTTATGTTATCCTTTTTTCTTTGTCCCCTGACTAGTCATAATGCACTGGGAATTTTCGTCTCTTCTAAACCATAAACTACGAGCTCTTGTTGCCATCGTTAATATTCCCCTTTTCCATGCAGATGACAGTAACATGGACTAGTGGCTATAACATAGATGAAGCGGTGCCTTTTGTCGAATGGGGTTTGAAGGGACATCGTCAAAGGCGCTCACCAGCTGGAACCTTGACATTTCATCAGAACAGCATGTGTGGTATAAGTCATTTCTATCATTTCCTGGTCTTGCTATGCTAATTTATTTACCATTAGCCTATATATAATCCAACCATCCTCACCCAAATAAATTGTTTCTGGAAATATTTACTGGTCCATCCAGCTTCACAGATTTTTCATTTAGAAGTTTCGCCATCATAATGTGTTTGAATCTAAGTAACAATTGGTTGCATGTCAATTGCAACAAATATGTATAAATGCTGCTCTACAAGCTCTGACTAGTTCACTATCCTCTGAGCTGTCCATTGGTATGTTTACAAATGATATCTCAATAACCTACTCTTTCCAGACTTCTTCCTCAATAGGATCAATATTCATAGTATACAGCCTTGTCATGTGTCCCCACCTGATCTCGTTACATGTTCTTCCAATAATGTGCCGATTCAACTAGTTATTTGATTCCCTTATCACTTCCTTTGATGTTTTGATCCTGTCTATGTTTGTTGACTTCTACCTGGCACTGATGGATCCAATCGAACCCCTTTTCACCCTTATAATCACGCCTTGTCAGCGGGGTTGCTCATTTCTGCTGCCTAAACTGATCAGAAGTGTTATCCTTGTTCTGAGCATACATGAAAATTCTCTCTGATCAGTCCAATTTCAAATAGTCTTCACGCTTCACTGTTTTTATTGTGCATTAACATGTAACTGGCCTACAGCATGACAAAGTTTCTTCATTGCCATGCAGGCTCACCTGCACGCACAGTTGGCTGGCGTGATCCTGGTTTCATACACACAAGTTTCTTGAAGGATTTGTGGCCAAATTTCATGTAGGTACCTAAATATCCATTTCAATCTGGCATAAAGATGTTGAGAAGCATGGACAGTATATCCCTCTGAAAACTATGATGATAATTTTTTCAGGTACACGTACAAGACTGGTCATCTGTTAGCCAATGGTTCATATGTATGGGGCAAGATTTATGCTTTCAAATCATCCCCATATCCTGGACAGGACTCGTTGCAGCGTGTTATAATATTTGGAGACATGGGGAAGGTAGTGCAGACAAAAACTTGAAGATCTCTTTACCTTCTGGAAACACCCCCACCCAGTAAGAAATGATAATATAAATAACGCTCTGTATTATCCTAAAGATTCAGGGATACATTAGTATGAGCAGGGGTGTTGAGACCAGCACACTTTGCATCAATCTAAAAGTAATTGTCTAGTCACATAAGCATGCTAATCTCTTGTTCTTATTGAATCACACCCTATATTATTGCCAATATTATATGCGTGATGGTAGCAAAGCATATTGTGATTGGCTCGTGAAGAATAGATGGGGAGGTTGAAATCATCATGCTCTTAGCCACTCCATTCCACTGCTGTTATAGTCTTACCATCAACTGTCTGAACCTTGATTTTTTTTTTTAGCAAGAAAGATGCCTTAGTGATTTTCTTCATAACTAAAATCAAGTAATTTGTGACCTTTGTCTAAGGAATCTTCTCTGAATGTATAACCAACTATTCTTTCTTTAGCCTGTTGGGTTGGTAACCCGGTTTTTTCCTTTTTGTGTGTGTCTGTGCATGGGACTATGCCATAGTTTCAGTCTTTCAAATTAAATGCCAGAATAGGATGTGACACTAGTTGTTTATGTGGCTCACTGCAAATTCTTACCTGTGATACAAGAGTTTCACCGTTTCATGCTCATATGTGTTCGAAATGACAGTGATGATTTACATTCTTCCGGCATTTTCAGGCAGAGCGTGATGGTTCAAATGAGTACAGTGATTATCAGCCAGGCTCACTGAATACTACTGACCAGCTCATCAAGGACCTAAAGAATTTTGACATAGTTTTCCATATTGGAGACATAACGTATGCCAATGGATACATCTCCCAGTGGGATCAATTCACATCACAGGTGGAGCCCATTGCATCAACTGTGCCTTATATGATTGCAAGGTCTCTGTCCTGCATTATTGTTATCATGTTTGTATAATTTCCTGTTGAATGTTTTACCTCATGAGATTGTATGGGACTCACTAATTTATCTACTTCTGCAGTGGTAATCACGAGCGTGATTGGCCCGGGACAGGTTCCTTCTATGACGTTATGGATTCGGGTGGAGAATGTGGAGTATTGGCTGAGACTATGTTCTATGTTCCTGCAGAAAACAGAGCAAAGTTTTGGTAAATATATTAGTTCTTCTCAAATAATTTTAAGCAAGCAATAGTCAAAAAAACTATTCTTTTAGGAGGCAACAGAACACTCATGGCCTTATTTTTGCGTTCTAAACAAGTCCTAAAGTTTCTAGCATCATTAAAGAGTTCCTAATTTTCAGTTATACTAAGTGACTACCACTGGCCTAAGCTCCCACCAATTAGTTTCTGGAAGTCTTAAAAGACCCAAGATAAAGGCATTCAAATCTTATAGCCCCTGGAAGGATCTGTGGCTTTTGTTCTGTAAAGAAGCCATATAGCATTTGGGCTTATCAAAGCTTGCAAGTATTAGTCCACAATACAGTTTATAGATCTTGAATTTTTTCATTACACAAATGGAAAGTTGGAAATTTCTCCACTCTTGTACGCCAAAGAAAAGTGGGAAAAATATATTACATATTGTCATCGTATTATCATGAACTTTACGGTGTCTGGTTCTGCATATGGAAGCATCCATCACCAAATCATAGCTGACAGAAATCATGTACTTCAACTCTCTTTGCAATTCAGGTCCTTATTAATTGTTACAATGGTGTAACTAGTACTCCAGCATTTGGATAATCGGTTTGTCCACCTTGTCCAAGTACATCGAGTCTATAATTTTTCAGTTTTTTTTGTAGAAATTTGAAAAGAATAAGAAGCCGTCTCCTATAAAACTTGGTCATCAAGTCTGATCAGTTCACTTTTTAGTAGCATGACAATATTGTTTTGGTTCAATATTTTATATAGAATTATGTGTTTATTTATTGACAGGTATTCGACGGACTATGGCATGTTCCACTTCTGCATAGCAGATACTGAGCATGACTGGAGAGAAGGTTCTGAACAGTACATGTTCCTAGAGAAATGCCTTGCATCCGCAGATAGGCAAAAACAGCCTTGGTTGATCTTTGCAGGTCATCGGGTCCTTGGGTATTCTTCTGACAAATGGTATGGCTCGGAGGGCTCATTTGAAGAGCCCATGGGAAGGGAAAGCTTGCAAAGACTCTGGCAGAAGTACAAGGTGGACATTGCATTTTGGGGTCACGTCCATAACTATGAAAGAACTTGCCCTATTTACCAGGTAGTAGGTTTTTTCTGTACTTTTTTCTTTTCTTACAGAATAAAATAAAGGAATATCAATGTAGCATGTTATTCCAGAGGCCTCTAAACCAATGGTGAAGCTCTTGAAACCCATTTCAGTAACAAACAGGTAGATTTGTGCCTGTTACACTCAAGAAACCATGTCACATTGGTTTTGTATTTCTTCATGGACACATGGCTTATCTTTGCATAAATAGTAAATTACTGTACTGATTTGGCATTATGCACAGCTCAATGTACACCAAATTCAGCTGCTGCGTTTCTCATTGCTTTAAGGAGTTCTGTATTGCTTTATTTACTGCCTGGTACAAGTAGCTAGTCACTGTGAACTACTTTGGATTTTTTCGGCCCGCTCTTACATTATTGTATAATTATATAGCTTTTGGAAAATTGTGTAGTTCTTCTTTGCATTCAATATCAATTTTTACGATTGACCAAGTTTTTTACGATCAATCCCAAATTTTTAGGCCTCATTGATTAGCAGCTTTGACCTCATTGAATCATAATTAGATCTCATTGTGTTGCAACCTTTTTTGATACAACTACCTTGAGATTTTGTTTCCAATATTTAATCATTTATCTACCATCTATCTGATCTTTTGCTGTTTGTGCTTGTGGTGTAGAATCAATGTGTGAACTCAGAAAAATCTCACTACTCTGGCATCGTGAATGGGACAATCCACGTTGTTGTTGGTGGGGCAGGGAGCCATTTATCAGCGTTCAGTGAAGTTAATACCACTTGGAGTCTCTATAAAGATTTCGACTTTGGATTTGTCAAATTGACAGCATTCAACCACTCATCCCTTCTCTATGAGTACAAGAAGAGCAGTGATGGAAAGGTATACGACTCTTTCACCATCTCAAGGGACTACAGAGATGTCTTGGCTTGTGTACATGATGGTTGTGAAGCCACCACTTTAGCATCTTGAACAGAATATGTAAAAACTGTTTAGGGGACGCCAGCGTTATATATCGTTGAATGGCTAGCTGCCCATTGAAGCAATTTTATGATACTCTCATCGAAAAATGGAGGGCAATAATTTGTAATTGCAGTTTGTTTTGTTGTTTTGTCATCCATTAATTAGTGCCTTATCACATTGTTTTTGAGTTATATTGTAACTCACCATAATGAATGTGTTTGTTTTTGGCTCAACATGGTCATTTACAGATGAGCTTGAAGTCTCTATAGATATTGGGTGTTTTGTTTTTTTTATTGGTTGTGATAGATGATGGGTATGATTCACTAAAAATTATATATTCAATTAAAGTATCATAGAGCTAACGCCTGTCTTGATCGAATTTATTACCTGTCACCAAATCATTCTTTAGCAATCCATTGTATGCTCCATAATGAACTTATCAAACACATAAGGTGAAGATAAGAAAGTCAAAAGGTAAATGAATTTAACTATTCATGAATAGCTACACCAATCACGTCTAACATGTCGAAATGACTGTATATACAATCATAAATTGAAAATATAAGAGATTCTTAATAACGTATCATCGGAAAAACTTTCTTGATCAATTGGAACGTATCATCGAAAAAACTTCTTTGATCAATTGGGTAAATTAAGAAAATAGCAATAGTAACTACAACAGGAGCTAAATATGCAATAGCAATCCAAGGTTGCAACTACATTAAACTCAATTTTAAAATTCGTTTAATAATCTAGCCAAAATCTATCCAAGTTCAAGTAATAACTTGTTTGACTTTTATAGACTCATGAATTTATGTATGCAATAGGTAGGTATTATATATATAAAGTTATGTGCTCAAATAAGGACTCACACTTAATTCGTTTAATTAGGCAAACTGAGTTTGAATAAATATTTTTATAGCATGTCATAATTTCCGTAAATACACGTGTCAAGTCTAAAACATGACAAAAATTGTTATTTTGTTTACATACCTTTGTTTTCATTTTTGGCCCAAGACAAGTTTGGATATAGAAAAATAATCAAACATGACTAACAGAATATCATAAAATAACCCAATATTCAAAGAGTAAACCAAATACAATCTCATACTAATATAGTTCTTGAATATTAGACGAAACCAATGTTGCCTTTTTGTTCGATAAGATACAAAACGACATCGTATTTGTTTATCAACACATGACGTGATAGGAAAAGTAAACAAATACGATCATTTTATTCATAGAAAAAACTTTGTATATATGAGTAATTAACAAAGTAGTCGTCTCGGTTCTCAGAAAAAAAAAAAAAGGTATTGTCCCACATTTTTTTATTTTTATGAATATTTTTATCATTGATGTAGGTGTTTTTATAATTGTTATGGTAACAAAAAAAAGTTATAAAAATAATTACCGCAACAGTGATAAAAATAACCATAAAAATCGTAAATTACTCACAAAAATGATAAATTTGTTTGTAGCAAAAAATACCCACAACAAATAATAAATTTTGGAAGTACATTATTGAATAAAAATATTCATTACCGCAGTGAAGTCCATTAACAAAAGATAAAACCATGGAGTTGACTAGGTATCAACTTTTTTTTTTTTTGGTACCATATCTCCATTTATCACATTTGTGAGTATTTTTATTACTGTTGTAGTATCCAAAAAATAGATAAAAATAGATACCACAACAGTGATAAAAATATTAACAAATATGATAAAAATACTCACAAATATGATAAAATATTCACAAAAGTAGTATTTTTTTTATATGAAAAAAATGATAAAAATAATTATCACAAATATAGTAAAAATATCCATAAAAATAATAAAAATACCCATAAAAATTATAAATCATCAACAAAAATAATAAATTTTTTTATTTTAAAAATGACCCTCTAAAATTATATTAATACCCTCAAAAATAATAAATTTTAAAAATATGATACTGACTTTTTTAATTTTTTTGGGCGGTACCACTACCAGCCATTTAATTTGTACAACTTTTCAGTCTGACTAGTCAAGTCTTTCAACTTGACCAGCTTACAATTACACCGTACACGATCCTTATTAGACAAAATTATATCAAAATTAACACGAAAGATTTGTTGGTGATCGACATCTGTCTCTTATTTTGACTGCTTCTCCCATTCTTTCATTCAAAGAACCACCCCCAACAAGATACAAAGCTTCACTGATCAAGCAAGCATTTTGATTGATCTTTCTTTTGGTCCGAGAGAAGGATCATTCTGTTGGACACGTCAACTTTTGAGTTAGGACCTTTTAAATTGACACTATTTTAAATTTGGCATAAACTGTGAGTTTCATCTAATTTGATTAAGTCGTCTTGAACATATTCAAGTCAATTATAAGCTAATTAAAATAACTCAGCTATTGCCATTGAATCGACTAATATCATTCTGTGACCCCACAATGTTGTTTGAATTTCTACTCATATTTAAGTTTTTTCTTTGGTTTAAACTTATGATTAGGGGTGTTTAAGTCAATTTGCGTGTACCTCGATTAATCTCCTCTCCGGTCCGGTTAAAGATAAACCATCTATACTGAGATTAAGATATTCATAAGGGTTAAATCTTTCATAGTCTAATCGTAAGGAGTTGTTAAAATTCGAATTCAAAATGTTTGAGTATATAGTACGTTTATCTATTAACACTTCATCCACCTCCTGGATTATTTAAGTTTTTCTTTTGGGTCAATACTGGTTGCTACCATTTTGCACTGTCCAGTCCGAATCCTTCTTCTGTAGCCCACAGTTTTCCAGAAGAAGAAACTTGACCTGTAAATTGCTTGATTGCTAAACTTAGACCTAATTGAACGGTTGCAATGTTCTAAGTTCTAACAAACAACTTGACGTTATGGTCAGACAGAGACAACAACAAATGTGAAACAGTCCTTATTTTATTCTAACAATACGCGTCTAAAACTTTGACGTTTTGGTCAAATTACTCATAGTGCCTGTTTGGTAACAAGTGTAATGCACCTGGATGGTTCAATCCATAAGAATTCGAATTTTTTCATATTGACTTAGACTCGAATCTCTATAACTATTACTGTTTCAGGTTATATTTACTCTTTAACACCAAAAAAATTAAAAAAAAAACTATAAGAGAATAAGGAAAACATGACATTGTCGCATATTAATTTTTATAGCTGTAAGTACAAATATTTTTTTAAATATTATGATCCAAACTAATTTTCATATGTATAGCATAAAAAATATTTTTGGTAATTTTTTATAACTTAAAATTTGATAATTACATTATGAATGGTCTCATCAAATAAATTTTTTGACTATGTCATTATTTTTGTTTGGTTCTCTTCGGGATAAAATCCTAATTCTATCCACGTAGGTACAATTGAATCTCACACAAATAACTTTGTACTGAATAATATTACTCATCGGTAGATATGTGAAATAACCTATTTATATATAAATTAAAAAAAACATTAATGCTATTAGGACACCCTTTACTCTAGTATGCTATTGACTTCCTTTTGTGATTTGCCAATTGTAATACATAATTTCAAGAGAATGAAGTTAGAACATTGTGCGATAACTAGAAGTGAGTAAAATAAGCCTTTACGCTTGCTACTTTCATTGATATTGATGAATATGGGATAAAGATTCTTACTAAATAGATTTGGGTTAAGGACTGTGTTGACCGAAACTTTCAACATCTCGAAAGGACAAGGTGGCAGAAATTGTAAATTTGAATGACCAAAATGACAAAAACTACAAATTTGAGGGACCAAAGTGACCTCTAAAGTGTGATCATGTGAATGTCTCCATTAGTTCAAATTATCATTTTCAATTGAACCAAATGACACAAATTAAAAAATTAAAGGACTAAATTAACATAATTCAAAGATTAGAGATCAAACTAACACAAAGCACATAGTTTAGGCACGTGTGCATCACATTTTTTTTTTGTGAAAATATAACTACCATTGTTGATTGGATTGAACAGATGTTCACGAAAAGTTAGAAAGATCAAATTGATGTAAATACTTATAAAATCCTAAATCAGAAATCAAATAAAATTTAGGGGGTAAAAGTATAATTAGTCCTATATTATCCACATTCCAACAAAAACCTAAATGGTTCACATTCTCCAGTGGCCCATGTGACTCAGCAGTCTTAATCGCTAGCCCCAACTTTTTAAGCCCAAACCCAAACCGATTCCTCGCTACGTTACTCAGCCGGCCAAACACTCCTCTACGCCATTTGCCCGGAAACCCAAACATCATTAGCACCCAGAGAGAGAGAGAGAGAGAGAGAGAGAGAGAGAGTGAGTGGACGAAACAGCAACGACAAGCATTTCAACTTTCAACCCCTAAAATCACCAGTCTCAAGGTCAGTCCTTTCCCTCCCTCTCTCTCTCTCTCTATATATATATATATATATATAGGAGTATAGATACAGAGCTGTGTGTGCATAGGTTTGTGTAAAATTATAGGTTAAGGTAATGGCGGCGACGCCGGGGAGTATTGAAGGTTCGGACAGGGTAATGGAAACAGCGAAACAGATCGTGAAGAGTCTCAAGACTCTAAACACATCCAGTAAAGAGACCGAGGACATGATCTTGATTTTGTCCAGCCTAGACAACCGATTATCGAGCATCAACGATCTCGTGTCTAATTCGGAAGCAGAAGATAGCACGGTCGATGCTCGATTTGAGGCTGCTGAGAAGCTTATTCTCAGTTACGACTCCAATTGCGAGCCGTACGATGCCGTAGAATATTTGGCCGCGGTCGATGAGATCCTACAGTTGACCGAAGATTTATCGATCCAACCAGAGAGCGAGATCATGGATCGAGCCGAAAATGCACTCCAATTGGCCATGTCGAGGCTAGAGGACGACTTTCGTCACATTTTGACTACAAATACGGAGGCTTTGGATGCGGAGAGGCTGCACGGGTCGATTCGTAGGGTTTCATTGTCGTTTGCTTCAAATGACGGGGAGATTGAGGATTTTGGGAGTTTTGGAGAGGAAGATCAGGTGAGTGGGTATTGTCACGAGAGAGGTGCGAGTTTGGGGAATGATGTGTGTGTGGACTTGATTAAACCCGATGCTGTGGGACAGTTGAAGGAAATTGCCGACTTGATGATTCGGTGTGGGTATGAGAAAGAGTGTTGTCAGGTATATAGTAGTGTTCGCCGAAATGTTCTTGAGGAGTGTATGTCGAATCTGGACGTCGAGAAGCTGAGCATTGAGGAGGTCCAGAGGATTGAGTGGAAGTCATTGAACGAGAGGATGAAGAAGTGGATTCAAGCTGTTAAGATTGTGGTTCGGGTCCTTTTGTCAGGGGAAAAACAGCTTTGTGAGCAGATCTTTTCCGAGTCTGAGCTGATTCAGGAGGTTTGCTTTGTTGAGACTGCAAAAGGGTGCATGATGCAGCTGTTGAATTTTGGCGAGGCAGTTGCAATTGGGAAGAGGTCCTCGGAGAAGTTGTTCCGCATACTCGATATGTATGATGCGCTTATGGATGTTTTATCAGATTTGGAAGCACTGTTTAAGGATGAATCGGGTGAGTTAGTAAGCAGTGAGGCAAATGGGGTGCTAAATTCACTTGGCGAAGCTGCCATTGGGACGTTTGTTGAGTTTGAAAATGCTGTTCAGGGTGAACAATCTAGGAAACCAACACAAGGTGGTGAGATTCACCCACTGACCCGTTATGTGATGAATTATTTGAAATTGTTGGTTGATTACAGTGAGACTCTTAATGAGCTCTTAAAGAAAAATGGGGATGAGTCTGATTGTTTGCAGAATAGTGATGGTGATCATTTGGAGTTAGAAAGCATGTCTCCGATAGCAAAACATTTGCTGTCACTGATTACGACTCTGAAATCAAACCTTGAAGAGAAGTCCAGAATGTATGAGGATGGTGCAATGCAATACATATTCTTGATGAACAATATCCTTTACATAGTTCAGAAAGTAAAAGACTCTGAGCTTAGGAACCTTTTGGGAGATAATTGGGTGCGTAAGCGCCGTGGTCAGATTCGCCAATATGCCACAAGCTATCTCCGAGCTTCATGGAGCAAGGCCTTGTCTTGTTTGAAGGATGAAGGGATTGGTGGGAGCACGAGTAATGCATCCAAGGTGGCATTAAAAGAAAGGTTTAAGAATTTCAATGCATGTTTTGAAGATATTTATAGGATTCAGACTTCTTGGAAGGTCCCAGATGCTCAACTTCGCGAAGAGCTTCGAATATCCATATCAGAAAAAGTGCTTCCTGCCTACCGCGCATTTTTGGGAAGGTTTGGGAGTCAACTAGACAGTGGAAAGCATACTGGGAAGTACATAAAGTACACTTCAGAGGACTTAGAGAATTACCTGTTGGATCTATTTGAAGGGACACCTCTCGTACTGCACCACATGAGAAGAAAAAGTACATAACATGCAGGACTCATGTAACAGGTATGCCTATTGCTCTCGTTGAATTTAATCGGAATTCTGCTCTCCTTCTAAACCCAGCTAATTATTTTATTGGTTTTATTGTCTTAATCACAGGTTTTTGAGAAAGGTATCCATACCATACTTTCCTTCACGTACTGTAATAATCTGTACATGTACTATCAATCCTCTGTATGTGTGAAACTTAAGGTGGTTCATCTCTTTATTGTCATGACTCACATTAGAGCTGAACTAATATTGTGTCCATGATCTTATCACATTTGAGTGGCTATTGGGTAAACTGATTGTTCAATTGACATGTTGATCGTTGTCACATTTCACCATTGTTACTTGTTAAGCAGCTGGCGAACAGCCTCCCTCTCCCCCAGATCCCAAAAAAAGAAATAATGTTTTATTTACGTCCTACAACCCTTGCAGCCTCTTGAACCTAAGGCTTCCAAATTTTCAAAACCTAGGCGGGGTGGAGCTATAGTTCCATGTAGAAATGCTTCTCCAAAAGTTGACACCCTTTTATTACTACTACTGTTAGTTTCTCTAGGGAAATATAATAGTTCAGCTTCAACAGTTCAACCTCGTTAAAAGGTCATACCCACCCAATACAACACCCATGATTACAAGTTACTTGATCAATTAGCTGAATTAGTTGCTGAAATGTTCTTGCAACTTGTGAAACTTTTCAGCAGTTGCATAATTTCTGCTCCGTTGACAATAGTTTCTTCTGTAACTTAATGTCAGCATATGTTCTGTAACTTGCACACCAAGATACAAGAAAATAGACAGTTAGACACTAGGAACTAATTTCCTCTCAAATCAATCAATTTTCTAGTTTGAGTGCTGGTGAGCTCAAAGCAGAAGATTACAGTAGTGGTGTAACCTACAGGTTCTAAAACCACCATGTATTTCTTCTCAAATATGTACAAGACATTGTTCCTTGTTTATCATTTGTTGTAATACAGTTTCTGTTGCTTTCATTTGTTATGATATTGTGTTCTTTTGCCGTTCAAAAATTATTAGTCAAGCTGCTATTATTTTCATCTAATTGGAATCAATGGTGTTGGAGGTGAGAGATAAAAATTGCACTCAAGAGGAAGCATGGTTAGTGAGAAGCAAATGCAGAAAATCAAGATAAATTCTCATGATCTCTTGTCAAATGGGTGGCAAAGACTGATTATGACAGTATATGAATTAGCACAAAAAAATTAAAAGCCTTGACACCAAGGAAATGCTAAGATGTTAAAAAATGGCAATTCGGATGGATACAAGTTTCTCTTGCGTGGGGTTTTGCCCTTTTTTCCTTGTTTGGTTGTTTGTTTTTTTTTTTTTGGGGGGAAAGGGGGGGGGCAAGCCTTAGTTGATGTTTTGGAGTCTTTTAAGTCTCTTTGCATCAAAAGAGAGAGAGAGAGAGAGAGAGAGTATTGTGGGCTGACAAGGGACTTGGTCATTTTTAAGGGTTGACGTTCCTCCAATAAGCTTTAGGATGGTATCAAAAGGGGTTAAGCCATCCCCAAAGCTCCTTCTTGAAGAAGAATTGGGGTTTTTGTTAGCTTCATTCCAACTACAGTTTCTAAAGTATTGGAATCTTTGGCTTCAAAGATTGGACCTTGCCGCAGCTTCATTTTTTTAAATCACTGTATTTCATGTCGTAAGCAGTGTGTTGCTGTCCAGATCTGGAAAGTAACAGATTTTAGGTAATTTGAATAGCCATAAATAATCCAAGACTTTGTTCTTTGTAGTGGGTGTTTAGAGTTCCTCCGCGGTTCTGAAGCATTTAGTCTGCCTTCTTTTTCCAACATGTTCTATTAATTATTCTGGTTTGCATTGAAATCATTAGGATGAACAGGATGGTACAAGATAAGGTTTTCTGTCTCAAATGATAATAAAGGGCCCTTTGCTGAATCCTGTACTTGATCATTTGTGTCTAATATGACCACCTATATACTTTACTAGTAGCTTGCCCTAAATTAGTAGACTTGCTGCTGGCAAGGATGTGTATGGTAATTAATAATTATCGATTCTTACTATTCTCCCTTCCCCCTTTCTTGGTTGATTCTTTTTAATCAAATTGGTGCAGATAACAGCATTGTGGCCCTCTTCATTTCTCCAGAACATTTGTGCTCATTAGAAAACAATTATTTTATAGGGGCTTGAAATGATGAAGTTTGGTTGTAGGAGTTGTGAACTTTCTTTGAGCTTCAAAATGTGCTAGGAAAAAAAATTCTGAGATAAACAATAGCCCATAATTGTATTATCTTTTGCCTGCTAGATGTGTTTAACTACAGGTGTATGATCTTTAAGCTCTGGTTAAAAAACCTCTTGAGGATTTTGCTTGACGGTCATGTCTCCAATCTGTGACCTCTAGCATGTAAACAGTCCTCTTTTCAGTGCTTTAAGTAGCTGAAATAAGTAAATTTTTCGAATTGTTTGTCACACTTTTCTGTGTTCTACTTTAAAATAGATGATTGTATTATGGACATTTTTGTGCTAATCCAAAACTTTATGCCTTTTTAAGTGTTGCTGTAAGGGCGTATAAGCTGCGAGGCTCCCTCCTTGGATGGGTGTTTGTGGTATATGGTTATGCTATCTGAAAAAAAACTCTATCATTCCGCATAATGATTTATAGTCGTAAAACTTAAGTTGATTCTTTTCTTTCAAATTTGTTTTGGTTAATCATCTACCAGGAATGAATGAGGGGTTCATTTTAAACAATAGGGTTCTATTTGAATGAGTGATAAATAATCTGATAAGAAGAAAATTAAAGAAAAGTATATTTTAGAGTGACTCTCAAGAATGGAATTTTTGTATAACTTTCTCGTAAGTTTTTCAAGTTAGCAGTATATATTCATTATTTTTTTTTCTTTCATTTCACTTTCTTTTATTATTATTTTCTTCCTAACCAAGTGAACCCTCAATCACCAAAAAGGTCCGTTATTGGCTTTTTCTGGAGTCCAAGAAAGGAATCACCTGGTGCCCCTCGAGTTCTGATGGGATGCATACTATTCGGCAATTTCATGCTAAAATCCGTCTAGTGATTGTCCTATTTCCCGTGCAGGTTAGATGATGTTGTTACATCCTATGATTTTATGTGGGGACAAAGAGTAATTATATAGCACTCGTGGGGAGTTAAGTGCTATTAAAGGAAAGATGGTAATTATTTAGTTAGACGGTGAACAAATTTAAAAGACGCAGGAAAGTAACTTGAAATGGGGAAGCGTAGTCTTGTGGAGGCATTGGACATAGGATGCTTCAGAGGGGTGTGCCAGTTGGATGGGTTAGGGAGTCAACTCGGTTTTAATCCAAGATATAAAAACTCTAATCCTAATTCAACTCTAACCGGAGTATTACACGCTTGGATTCAGGTTAGGCTCGAGTTGAATTTGATTGAACCCAATATTTTAAATAGGGTTTAATTTTTTAGGTAAATTCAGATTCTTAAATGTAAATATTTTTTAACTCTTTTATTAAACTCACCTAGACCCAATAAAAATCAAGCACATTAAAGACACAGATTCTAATTTTAACATCTTCTTTTAACTCCGTGTAGTGCTATAAAAAGTTCTTGATGAGTCTAAATAACACATTATTTTATTGTGTAGTCCTGTGTATATCTTAAATGCTTAAATAACACACATTATTTTTAATACTCGAATAAAAGTTTGGGTTAAATTCTAGTTGAACTCCATTTTTAGTAATTTGATTTGGACTCAAGTTGAACCTGAAACCTTAAAACGAATTTAGTCCGAATTTACTTTAGATTGATGATTTGTGGCCCAAATTCAGCCCAAATTTTAAAAAATTTAACAAAAACACTGATTTTTTTGAGTTGACTTTGGATTCGCCGCCCAAATTACACTCCTAAAGTACTTTATGAGCAGAAAAAACTTATTGGCCACCAACATCCTAGATTATCTCATCAATTTACCTTTCTTTTGAATAAAAAATATTTATTGGTCACAAACATGAAGATGTTGGATTATTTCTTTAATTAATCATCCTTCAAATAAATCTTCCATACCACGATATCTAAAGAATGTCAGAATTCTGCAGTCTTATTTTTTACAAATTTTCATGTAATATGAATAAAACTTTTCATAACACAACATCCGAAGAGAGACAGACTTTTGGAGTCATTTTTTTGCAAATTTTTATATAAAATTTTCAACTCTCTGCATTAATATGAATATAAATCCATTTGAACGTCATGCAAAAAATTTCCTCTATTTTTTTTTTTGAAGGAATATTATGCTTGTTAATTGCAATGGAACTGAGAAAAAACAAAAATTCTATAATGACCATATACTACAAGCCGATTGATGATAAACTGTGATAGATTCCAACAGGAAGCGATGAGTCTAATAAACAATTACAGTTTAATGCATAAGAGTCTAATAAACAACGACAGTTCAATGCATCAGAGTATAATATTACTACACAACTGTCTATAATTGAACAAAAATATCCCAACGCTGTTGTTAACCAAAAAAAAAAAAAAAAGAATCACAAGCACACCTCAAACGGTGAAACCATTCAAATTAGAAGGGCAGAAGTTTATGGGAAAGGATCTTATTTTCCATTACCACAGAATGCTGCTGGAGTTTGCAGTACAACAGATAAAACTGAAAATAACAGCGTCCGATTATTACGACTACCTCAACCAATTTACACCATCATTTCCAGCAAGTTAACGACGACAGGACAATGACACAGATGATACAACAAAAGGAAAGGAGAGGAGGTTAATAACGCAAGATCCATCAGCCACAAAAAAAACTACATTGACTAGTTTGGAACTAGTTAGACCCTGCTGTTCGCGGGCAGGGGAAGAACACCATCAAAGAAATCACCAAAGTAACCACGAGGCTCGTGTACTAGCTTTGAAATTATGTCTCTGAGAGTGATTACCCCCTCTAGATTTCCAGCATCATCCACGACATAAATCCGATGGATCTTTGTGGAGTCGAGTTTCAGAATAACTTCCTTGAGTGTGTTGTCTCTTTGGCATGTAACCATGCCACTCAACAATGGTGAATCTTTTTGATTCTCCTCCAGGTAGCTTCGAACTGCTGTCAGAAAGTTCTTGGCCGTTATAGATCTGTAAGAACATTCCAGATGAACGTGTTAAGATTGATGATATCTCTGAGATCCAATAAGCTCCTTTAATATTTCCATGACCCATCAGGGAAAAGTTGTACACTTTATTTTTATTTTTTTGGGAGAGGGGGGGGAGGGAGTTGCAGACTTGAGCTGGAAAAAAGCTAGAAAAGTTTCGGCTATAAACCTGTAATCCTTGTAGATTGCAGGCGCAATTAGAAGGAATTGAATATCTCTGATGCTTATATTACCAACTGCTTTACTTCCGCCACTTTCGACCACTGGTACCCCACCAACTCCCTTTTGTCTCATCAGTTTAAATGCCTGTAGCACTGGTTCATCCTCATCCACCTGAAAAGAAAGGAGGAGGAATCACAAACCCCATCAATCACAAGATCATGTTTGTCGACCAAGATTTTAATGTGGATTTGGGGGGAAATGTGGGCTTCAATGTTGAAATCATTTTCTCAGGCCATTGTAACTTAGTGGTGGAAGTTATCTGACAATACTTGCATTTGACAAGATTCTAGATATCAACCACTTGACTAACCAACACAGTTATTATGTCACGATTGTTGCCTCCATTATAAAATTCCTAAAACGACATAACACTACCCTTCAGCCCTCGATGGAGAAAAAAAAAAAAGAGGGGCGTAATCTTATAGTAATGATTGAACTAATCAACCATTGTAGAACATCCACTTAGAATAGATTGTGGCTGCAGATATCCAATATTTTAAAGATAATTCTAACTAAAGAAGTCAAATACCTTAACAATGCGACTGGGCTTCATTAGAGGAAGACCAAGGTCAGATAGTTTTTTAGTGCCCCAGCTTTCAAACCAGTGAAGACCAACACATTCTTCCAACATGTGAATCACAGCAGATTGGGTGATTATGTTATCAATTGTTGTTTCACCTAGATCAACCACAGGAACACTTTTCATTCTGTACTTTGATAGCAGCAAGAGCATCGTCAAAAAGGAGTTCGACTTCTGCAAAGCAAGAAATGGAGCCCAGCGGAATGAACCTGAGATATCTTGAACCTGTGTACTCATAAGTTAGCAAGTGTAGGATGTTTCATGAAGAAAATACTGAAGAAGTACAAAGAGAATAAAAAGTTCACTAGAATTAAAAACTCTTTCTTAGTATAGAAGTTAAAAGAATAACCTTTGTGTTCTTATAAAAGTCAGAAGAAGTAAGAGTCTCAAAAAAGTTCCCAGAAGTGGCTGTAGGAGATTCAGGGTGCAAGCTTCTAAATCTTGGAGAAGATAACCCATTAGCTGCGGCTGCAACAGCAGGTCCAATGGTTTCCTCTGATACATACATATCGAATGCTGAGCCCGCAGATCCTTCCATCTTTTCTGACTGCAAAAAAAATGAGCCCATATGTAAGCTTCCATTAGGAAGGCATGAAGACAACCAAATACTGCAGCAAAGAATCAGACATCGTTTTCACAGAGTACAAAGGTTTGATTGGAGCATTGAAGCCTGACCTCTATGCAATATCTGAATGCAAACATTAAGCAATGCCAGTGAATCAGCTTTTGCTTTCTCCCCATGTCCATATATTAATAATTACCTCAAAATTGCCTCCCACTTGACCAACCATAAAAATTACCATCTTATTCTTTGACAAAAGGAAATAAAAGAACACAGACTACCAAAATCCAGACATTAATGAAGGTACAAGTTCCATTTCAGGTTTTTGCCAACTATATATATCCAATATGTCAGCACCAACTGAAGTGTTGACATTTTGAAGAAAATGTAGTGGGTATCTTGCCAAACAAAGGAAAGTTCTAAAGTAATGATGCTTCAATTTAGTTGTAGAAGAAACCCGTGCAAAATATTGTGGTCACCAATTTGCATTTCATTTCATGGCACCTGGGGAACACGTTTGATAGAGGATTGGAGAGGAGAGGTGGAAAGAACAGGCTCGGAATGGATTTAAAGAATTATTTAATCACAAACCTATGAACTGAGAGATGTTACCACAACGGGCTAAGCCAATTCCCGACCATCATGATACCTTAATATCAAGGAATCCCACCCCATTATCATGATTGCATAGCCCCAGCTGTAACAACCATGATACTGTCACGTAACAAAAAGACAGAAATCTATGAAGCAACTTAAATATCTTTCTATGAAGGGCGAGGTTTGGAACCCAGTCACTTTATACCTAGTGGAAGTCATGGAATAGCATAGCTATTATCAATTGAAGAAAAAAAGAAATGGACGAATATGAACTCTCATTGACTTACTTCACTTAGTGGTTAGAGTCTTCCATACAGTATCAGTTCATGATCTAATGGTAGGGAACCCACCCGTAGGTGGAGGTTCTTGCTCCAAGATTCGTTTGTTTGCAATCACCTTCTACCTATAAGGGATTAGCGGTTTCGAAGATCTGACTTACACACAGAAAAGTAATATCATAAGTGGTTCATCAAAACTATACTTGTTCCACCGGGGTGTTTCCTTGGCATATCAGTTACTCTTAGAAGTTAGAAGCAAGTGGTGGCTTGATAGAAAAGGGCTGCCTCTATTCCATTGATTTCAAATTGCCCTCGGCTATCAATCAATATAATCTAAGAAAAATCCTAAACAACAACAACCAAAAAGCCTGTTTTCAGTTATTAGCCACAAAGACGATCCACCTGCTTCTACTTTCAATTATCAATGATAGGAGGCAAACCTGATGAAGAATCCACACGACAATTCCTGCAAACTCCACAATACCAATGTATCTATCGATCCAACTCGCGTCCTTAGGCGCCTTGACATCCACAACGGGTGCACTAAGAATTTTATGTTTGGACAGTAACTTAACTGCGTCAGCCAAGCTGGTATCCGAGTTTAGCTCAATTACTACAAACAGATTTTGCAAACAGTGAGGCCAATAGCAGAAGGAAGTAAGAAAGAAACTAAGAACCTGAAAGCAAATGACAAAGGCTTGCAGCATATGCCAACTCTACCAAAAACAGAAGGTTGTAGATATAGAATTTTGTGTGTGAGAGTGTGTGTGTGTGTTTTTTTTTTTTTTTGGGGGGGGTTGGGGGGGTTTGGGGTTTATGGGATGAGGTTAGAACCCACAACTACTTGCCCTGTGACACCCCCTCACCTCAAAACATGAAGATATAGAATACAAATGCACATATAAGCATGACTCCATGAGCATGATAAGTATAAATAAAATGCAAAAATAAATATAGCCAGACACACATAACACTCTGAGAGCATGGTCAGTGCACATATGGTGTTTATTTATCCTTATATTCTTATCTTGTAATACCTCTTTAAACCCTAACTAGTGTTTGGTCACCAAGAAAGAGACGAAAGTCATACATACAAAAATTATGTATCAGAATTTCAGATTCCTCCTTGATTTGGGACTTCTTTTAACAAAAACGTTTCCTCGCAGCTTGATCCAGATAAAATTTTCTGATGATTTTAAGCTTAGGTTTGAATTTAATCAGCAATGGTAACTTTTTCCTTCATAATAATTTGTGCATAACTCTCAAACCCAACATGGTCAACATCGAACATATAACAAACCAGAAATAGCGAGAAATTTTTTCTCTAATTTCTCCTCATGTGCTCTGTATCGTCAATAAATAATCATAATAATCAAAATCCATGCCTCAAAATACAATGAATATCCCTAAACACACACTTACACCATACATATAAGGATGAGGATTTCTAACTTTCATTCTCATGTGTTCATCCTCATATCTAAGGTCTTGATCAGATGGATTAGCAATAGAACTAAGGCCAAATAAAGAGAATTAATGCATAATTACAAATATAATTTCGTGGGTATGCAGCATATTATTAATATATTACCTTGAGAAGAAGGAGCAGGAGGGAAGGCAGAGACAGGGATGCTCTCAAAGCAAGCATTGAGCTTCTCAGTTGGACTGAGCTGTGGCTCTTGTATGTCCCACAGATCCTCCACATGCCTCCCCAACGTCGCCTCTGGGCTCCTTGGACTACCATCTTCCACCACCATGATCTCTCTCTCTCTCTCTCTTTCACACACACGCACACAGACACTAACCCCTCTCTCTTTCTCTCTCAAAAGCCTGCAATTCCAAAGTTTAGAAAGCTGACAAGAACTTGATACTATCTTCACGCTAACCGTTAATGATTAAAAACTCGCCAGAGAGATTATATCGTACTACGCGCTGCAACCTAAGGTACCAATCTGGACCATTAAAAATAGATCAAGTGCTAGATGGGTGAACTCTGGACAGGTGGTACGATCTTGCAGGTGGAGGTGCGTCAGCATTGATGTAGTTGCGTGGTCAAAGTTGGATGGTGGATGTCTCCACGTAGTGCTCGCGCATGCTTATCCTGACCATTATTTTACTAGTTTTCCGGCAAACTTAGTAGTAGTTATCCGAAGTTTAATAATAGCCACTGCCATGCACTCTCTAACATGCACCGGGACCGTGGTTTATGGATTGTGGTTTTGACTCGCTAGTGATGACGTGGCATTTAACAAAAGCCGCCATGCCACCTGTCCCGCTTTTTTTAACCAATTGGATCTTTCTTTCATTATACATTTTAATAATTGAAGCAAATTTAGACATTTATTTTGTTTAACTTAATTTCTTCTAAATGAGGTCTATGGTATTTTTATTTTATTTTATTTTCAGGTACTGTATGGAGAAGAGTAATATTAGTTAGACATAAAAATTTATTGATTTAATGATGTGATATTAATATTGTGTAATACTATTATTATTGTAACCATAATTGTTTGTCTTCTTAATTAGCGGGACCAGCCCAATAATGCATTAGATAAATGGCTTTCTAATTTTAAGTGCCCTATTTGATAAGAGGAAAAAACAAGTGGATGGGACATGTGATAAGGAAAAATGGGAAGAAAGAAAACATTTTCCATTATTGGTTGAGAAAGGGCATGGCCCGCTCCCAAAGTACGACGGGCGGTGTGTACAAGGCTCGAGAACAAATTTGCCGTCGTATGGCTGACCGACGATTACTAGCGATTCCAACTTCTAACTAATTAGAGTGACATTGAATCACTTAAATTTATTTATAAGATAATTATTTTATATATATAAGGGTATAATGGTAAATTTTCTCTAATACCAAACAATAGAAAATTAATTGTTTCAATTTTCTATCCATCGTATAAAACACAAATGAGAGAAAATTTGTTTATTTCTTTCAAGGATGAAAAGTGTATTTTCACACCAATGCCCCTTTGGTCAAATGATATTTTTTTGCCTTGTGAAAAAATGACCTTCTTGAGATCAAGGGTTCAAGTCTCCTTCCCCCCTCCCCCACACCCACTCCCAAAAAATTAAAAAAGAAAAGGAAAGTGTATTTTCACACTTATTCATCTTTTTATTTTTTCATTTCTCATACTAAACGGAGTATAGAACTACCGCTTAATATATGTAATAGACAAGACAAGTGACAGGGGCACGGGGCCACCGTGGCCTAAGAGTGGCTCCACCGTCGAGTCTACCATTTTAATTTTTTAATTTTTCCTTATACCTTTATATGTCATTGTTTTGAAAAAATTATATAATAAAGTACAACAGAATTTAAATTTTAAAATAAATAAAATAATTTTTATTTTTCGCAGTTAAAATCTCTTTAAATTTTATTTAAAATTAATCTAACAGTTAATACTAATACTTTAAAATTAATAAGAAAAATAGGGCTCTGAGAGTGTGTTTGAGATAATTTTTTAAAAGTGGTTTATATAACTTTATAATTTATCATAAATATTTAAAAAAAAAATAGTGTTTGGAACTGCCTCACCATTATCATTACACTCACCACTACCGCCTCCACTGTCACTTCACCACCACCCCCCCGCTGTCCCTCACCACACCACACAACTACAATCATCGTCGTCGTTGTTATCCCACTACCACATCTGTCATAACAACCACTACCACTATCGCCACCCCCTATCATCATCATCACATCTACCGCCCCCATCACTCTTACCACCACTCCTACCGCCTCATTATCACTATCGTCGCCACCATCACCACTATCACAACTCTACCACCACCATCCCCACTACCGCTGCCGCTATCTTACCATTGCTGTCATTGTCCCATCATCATCTCTACTATTACCATTGCCTCCATGACTACCACTATCATAACCATCACCATCACCATTTTCCACCAACACTATCATTTTCGTCCATTACTACTACCACTGCTCGTTTCAATTACAACTGAGTGCTTAAATTTCTTTCTCTTTCCTCTATTATTGTAATTTGATTTTAGGTGTGAATACAAATATATTTATTGTTGATCATTTTTTTTAATAAATAGTATTATTATTTTATATCTTATCCTTTTATGTTTTGAGAAGTCAAAAAATACATTGGTTAAGTGTTGAATTATAATGACCATTCCAATTAGTGTTGCTATTTAAGTTTTTGAGGATTATTTTTGATTATTTATATAATCAAAAAAATAATTTTATTGGTGAACTCTTTGATTATTTATATCAAAAAAAATACTGAAAAATTTTGGACTGAAATAAATGATTTTTAAGACATGATATGACATTAAATTTTATTTGGATAGCTAATTCGGTGGAATGCACAATGACACAAGTATTATGCTTTTTTTTTTTGTTCCATATCTTAGTAAGGCTAAAAAGTGTTAGAATATATTTTTCTTCTAGTAATTTAGTTTTGATTGATAAACATATTTCTTATGTTTGCCTTTAAAAATATGTCTAAACTTTTAATAACTTACATCAATTATAGAAATTTTTGTATTTCATATTTTTGCCTACCTAAGAGTGAGATGTTGGCTACGCCCTC